TTGCTTTTGTTGCCCATCACCAATGAGACATATCCAAAAAAATACCATTATGACCAATGTTCAAAAGTTTACTGACTGTATTTTCTATTAAAAGTTTTATGGTTTAAGGTCTCACATTTAGTCCTTAATTTTTTATAAGTTTATTTTTGTGCATGATGTAAGAAAGTGGTCCAGTTTCATCCTTTTGCATGTTGCTGTCCAGTTTTCTTCAACACCATTTTTTGAAGAAAATTATTTTCCCCATTGTATATTCCTGCCTCTTTGTTCTAGATTAATTGAATGTATAAATACAGGTTTATTTCTGGGATCCTTACCCTTATTCATTGATCTGTAAGTCTACACTTGTGTCGGGAACATACGGTTTTGGTTACTACAGCTTTATAGTAGATCTTAAAATTGAGGACGTGATACCTCCAATTTTGTTCTTCTTTCTCAAGATTGCCTTTGCTATTTGGGGGTCTTTTTAGGTTCCATATGAATTTTAGTTTTATTTGTTATAGTTTTGTGAAAAATGCTATTTTGATAAGGATTGCAGTGAAACTATAGATTGCTTTGGGTAGTATAAACATTTTAGCATAATAGGAACCACGAGCATGGAATATCTTTCTATTTTTTTGTGTCATTTTCAGTATCTTTCATCAGTGTCTCATAGTTTTCAGAATACAAGTCTTTCAACTGTTTGGTTAAATTTATTCCTAGGTACTTTTTTGGTGCAAATACATATATAATTTTTTAAAATTTCTTTTTCTGCTACTTTGTTATTAGTGTACAGAAACACAACAGATTTCTGTATATTAATTTTGTATCCTGCAACTTCATTGAATTTATTACTTCTAATAGTTTTTTGGTGAAGTCTTTAGGGCTTTCTGTGTGTAGTATCATGTCATCTACACATAGTTTAAATTTTTCCTTAACAATTTGGATGCCTTCTTTTTTCTATCTTTTCTTTTTATCTCTTTGTCTTTTTTGTTTGTTTGTTGTGGCTAGAACTTGCAGTACTATATCGAATACAATGGTGAGTAGACTTTCTTGTCTTGCTCCTGATCTTTTTTTTTTAAGATTTTTTTATTTATTTATTCATGAGAGAGAGAGAGAGAGAGAGAGAGAGAGAGAGGAGGTAGAGACACAGGCAGGGAGAGAAGCAGGCTCCATGCAGGAAGCCTGATGTGGGATTCGATCCCCGCTACTTTGGATCATCACACCCTGAGCCAAACACAGACACTCAACTGCTGAGCCACCCAGGCATCCCAATCTTGCTCCTGATCTTAAAGGAAAAGCTCTTAGTTTTGCACCATTGAACATAATGTTAGCTGTGGGTTTTTCTTATATAGCCTGTATTATGTCGAAGCATGTTCCCTCTAAATTCACTTTGTTGAGAGTTTTTATCATGGAGAGATATGGAATTTTTTTCAAATGTCTTTTTTGCATTTACTGAAATAATCATATTGTTTTGTTAATGTGGTGTATCACATTGATTTGTAAATATTGAACCATATTGGACTCCTGAAATAAATCCCACTTAATCACGGTGAATGATTTTTTTAATGTATTGTTTTTTTTTTTTTTTTTTAAGATTTTATGTATTTATTTATTTGAGAGAGAGAAAAAAAAAACACAAGCAGGGAGGATGAGCAGAAGGAGAGGGAGAAGCAGTCTCCCCACTGAACAGGGAGCCCAGTGCAGGGCTGGATCCCGGGGCCCTGGGATCATGACCTATGCCAAGGCAGCCGCTTAACCAACTGAGCCACCGAGATGCCCCTTTTTAATGTATTGTTGAATGTGGTTTGCTAATGTTTTGTTGAATATTTTTGCATCTATGTTCAAGGATATTGACCTATATGTATATATTTTTTGTAGTGTCTTTGTTTGGTTTGGGTATCAAGATAATGCTGGCCTCATAGAATGTATTTGGAAGCCTTCTTTCCTCTGGGACAGATCAAGAAGAATGGATTAACTGTTCTTTAAATGTTTGATAGAGGTTACCTATGTATCTAGTCCTAAACTTTTGATCATTGGGAGGTTTGTGTGTGTGTGTGTGTGTGTGTGTGTGTGTGTGTGTTACTGATTCAGTGTCATCTCTTTAGATTTTCTATTTCTTCCTCATTCAATGTTGGAAGATTGTATATTTCTAGGAATTAATCCATTTCTTCCATGTAGTCCAATTTGTTGACATAATTTTTAATAGTTTTAAACATCATATAATCTTTTGTGTTTCTATGGCATCCGTTGTTACCTCTACTTTTTTTGTTAGTGATTTTATTTATTTCTGTCCTCTCTCTCTTTTTTCTTGAAGTCTGGCTAGAGGTTGCCAGTTTTGTCTGTCTTTTCAAAGAACTAGGTCTTATTCATCTTCTCTATTTCTTTCTTTTTTGGTCTCTATGTCATTTATTTCTGCTCTGATCTTTGTTATTTCCTTCCTTCTACTAATCTTGGGCTTTGTTTCGTCTTCTTTTTCTTTAGGTATACTTTAGGTATAAGGTTACATTATTTGTTTGAGATTTTCTTGTTTCTTAAGGTAGGCTTATATCACTGTAAATGTTTTTCTTTAAAACCACTTTCGTGGATCCCTGGGTGGCGCAGCGGTTTAGCGCCTGCCTTTGGCCCAGGGCGTGATCCTGGAGACCCAGGATCGAATCCCACGTCGGGCTCCCGGTGCATGGAGCCTGCTTCTCCCTCTGCCTGTGTCTCTGCCTCTCTCTCTCTGTCTCTCTGTGACTATCGTAAATAAATAAAAATTTTAAAAAAAATAAAAATAAAACCACTTTCGTTGCATCCCAAAGATCTTGGTCCATTGTGTTTTCATTTTCATTTGTCTCCATGTATTTTTTTTTTACTTAGTCTTTCATTTCTTCATTGACTTGTTTCTTCATTGACCCATATTTAGTAGCATGTTATTTAGCTTCCATTTCTTTGTGTGTTGTTTTCAGTTTTGCATGTGTATGTGATTGGTATTTAGTTTCATACTACATGTATGGTTGAAAAAGACCATACAAACTACATGTGTGGTTGAAAAAGATGCATGATATAATTTCAGTCTTCTTAAATTTATTGAGACTTGTTTGTGGCCTAACCTGTGATGTCTCCTGGGGAATGTTCCATGTGAACTTTAACAAATGTATATTCTTTTGTTTTTGGATGGAATGTTGTGTATATGTCTGTTAAGGGTTTATCTGGTCTAGTGTGTCATTTAAAGATACTCTTATTGATTTGCTGCCTGGATAATCTATCCATCGATCTAAATGGGGTGTTAAAAGTCTCCTATTAACATTATATCACATGACTCTTCTCTCTTTATGTCTGTTAGTATTTGGTTTATTTACTTAGGTGCCCCAAAGTTGGGTGTATAGACATTTGCAATTGCTATATCCTCTTGCTGGTTGATCCCTTTATCATTATGTAATGCCCTTCTTTGTCTCTTGTTGAAATCTTTGTTTTAAAGTTTATTTTGTTTGATATAAACATTGCTAGTCTTGCATTTCTTTTTCACTTCTATTTGCATGGAGTATCTTGTTCTATACTCTCATTTTCAGTCTCTATGTGTCTTCAGGTGTGGAGTGAGTCTCTTGCAGGCAGTATATATATGGGTCTTTTTTAAAAAAAAATCCATTCCACCACACTATGTCTTTTGACTGGAGCATTTATATCATTTACATTTAAAATAATTATTGATAGGTATGTACTTACTGTAATTTTGTTAACTGTTTTCTGGTTGTTTTTGTAGTTCTTCTCTGTTCCTTTCTTTTTTTCTTCCTCTCTTCTTTTATGGTAATGACTTTCTTTAGTATTATGCTTGGCTTCCTTTCTCTTTATTTTTTGTGTATATAATACAGGTTTGAGGTTTATGGTTCCCATGAGGTTTGTATATAACATAAGTATATGGCAGTCTATATTAAGTCGATAGCTGCTAGGTTATAACATATTCTAAAAGAACTTCCTTTTTACTCCCTGCCTTTATGTATATGTTGTCATATTTTACATCTTTTTATTCATAATTTTCTTACTTCTAACTATGGGCTTTTCTTTGCCACTTAACAAAATCCCTTTAACATTTCTTGTAAGGCCAGTTTAGTGATGATAAACTCCTTTAACTTTTGTTTGTCTGGGAAACTTTTTTTATCTCTTTTTCCATTCTGAATGATAACCCTGGGAGCTAGAATATACTTGGTTGTAGGGTTTTTTTCTTTCATCTCTTTGAATATCATGCCACTTCTTCCATCCTACTAAATGTCTGCTGAAAAAATGAGCTGATGGCTTTATGGAGTTACCCTTATACATAACTCTTTACTTCTCTTTTGCTGCATTTGAAACTCTCTGTTTGTCTTTAAACTTTGATATTTTAATTAATATATGTCATGGTGTGGACCTCATTGGGTTCACCTTGTTGGAACTCTCTGTGATTCCTCAACCTAAATGTCTATTTCCTTCATAGATTAGGGAAAATTTCAACTATTATTTTTTCTTTTTTTTTTCAACTATTATTTTTTCAAGTAAGTTTTCTTTCTCTTTCTCTTCTTGTTCTTGGACCCTTCTAATGTGAATATTTGTGTGCCTGATGTTGTTCTAGAAATCTCTTAATCTATCTTCATTTTTTTAAGCTTTTTTTTTAAAGATTTTATCCATTTATTCATGAGAGACACAGAGATAGGCAGAGGCAGGCAGAGGGAGAAGCAGGCTCCACGCAAGGAGCCCAATGTGGGACTCGATCCCAGGACTCCAGGATCACACCCTAGGCTGAAGGCAGGGGCCAAACCGTTGAGCCACCCAGGGATCCCCATTTATCTTCATTTTTTGAAATTTCTTTTTGGTGATCAGGTCAGGTGCTTTCCATTACCTTTTCTCCCAGCTTACTGATCCATTCTTCCACACCCTCTAGTTCACTGTTGATACCCTCTAGTGTGTTTTCCATTTCAGTTATTGCATTCAACTCTGATTGATTCTTTTTTTTTTTTTATGATAGTCACACACACGAGAGAGAGAGAGAGGCAGAGACACAGGCAGAGGGAGAAGCAGGCTCCATGCACCGGGAGCCCGACGTGGGACTCGATCCCGGGTCTCCAGGATCACGCCCTGGGCCAAAGGCAGGCGCCAAACCGCTGCGCCACCCAGGGATCCCTGATTGATTCTTTTTTAAAATTTTCTATCTCTTTGTTGAAGTTCACATTGAGTTATTTCACTCCTTTCCAGTCTGGTGAGTATGATCATTCTTTTATTTTTTTAAAATATTTTATTTATTTATTTGAGAGACAGAGAGAGAGAATAGGCGGGGAGGGGCAGAGAGAGAGGGAGAAGCAGGCTCCCCACTGAACAGGGAGCCTTATGTGGGGGCTTGATCTCAGGACCTTGGGATCATGACCTGATCCCGCAGATGCTTAACTGACTGAGACACCTAGGCACCCATGATCATTCTTTTAAACTCTTTTTTAGGTATATTGCTTATTCTGTTTCACTTAGTTCTTTTTCTGTGGTTTTGTCTTGTTCTTTCATTTGGAGCATACCCTCTGTCTACTCATTTTACCTGAGTTTCTGTATTTGTTTCTATGAATTAGATGGAACAGCTACTCCTCCTAAATTCAAAGGAATTGTCTAGTATATGATCATCCCCTGTGTAGGCTGCGTGTGCTTGGTGACTTTGGTTGGCTGGTTCTGTGGCTATTGTGGGCAAGGGGTCATGTATAGGACACTCCATGCTGGGGATGCCCTGGCAAGACAGCTGACCCTAAAGTGGGTATGGGCTGGGTATTGCTTGATGCTCAATGCAAGGGATGACCTGAAGGCGATTGGAGCTGAGGCAGGTGTGGGCTGGAGTGTTATGGGGTACCCTACATAGGATGCACAATGGTAGGGAAGCTGGATCTGAGACAGGGTGTGGGCCAGGGGGGTTCCTGGCCACTTCATACAACACACGTTGTATGTTTTTTTTTTTTATGGTTTTTAACATTTTCTTTAATGTCACAATTTTTTAAAATGTTTAATGCCTCCCATGACTCCTCCATTTTGAAGAGAATAAAGTCCAAATTCCTTAACCTAACATCCAAGGATACTTCTGATTCAACATCAACTTCTATTTCAATACAGCAAAGTGGCTAACAGTGCACGAAGGCAGGCCACCCCAGCTGGAATCCCAGCTCTGTGACTTACTAGCTGTGTGAGCTTGGGCAAGGAGCTTGGTTTCTCTGCGCCTCTGTGTTCTCATCTGCAAAATAAGGAAATTAACAATTCTCACCTGATGGGGCTGAGGTGCTATGTGCAGTGTCCCTCTTGTGGAAGTGACAAAGGTGCCTGGGGGCCAGTGGGGCTCAGCCAGCACTGCTCCCAGATCCACCCTTACCTGGGGCTACGTCAGCTGGCCACACTGTCAGGCTGGGCATCAGTCTACACTGCAGCACCTGAGGGCTTTGATCCACCTGGTAAAAGCAGTGGCTTCCCACGTGCCATCTCCTGCTTAGCCTGGCACCTCCTATTTCCATTCTCTTATGATCTCCAAAGTGTGGTGACCTCACTCTAAATATGCCGTCTCTTTTCATCATCCTAACTCCTCTCTGGCAACTAGGACTCATGGCCAGACCAAGCTCACTGAAAGTCCTGTGTAAGACAAACCAGGGATCACTTTAAGCGGCACCTCAGAAGCCCCCATTGTGTGCAAGCCTAGTCTGTGTCTTAGCAGTGCTTTAGAAGGCATGTACGCGTGTATAAATGTACCATAGATATTTATGTATGTTACTATAGCACTATGTGGAGGGCAACATAACAGGTGGACAGGGTCTGTCAGAGGAAATGAATCTTTCTGGTGGCTATGAAAGTAAAATCTGTATAAAGAATAAAACGTTTTTCTGCAAAAAAAAAAAAAAAAGTGCCTTGGTAGGGTGGCTGGAACTGAGATGAGCCTGGACTAGAAGTTTCTGGGATACTCCATACAAGAGACACCTTGGGTGGGGTGAGTAGAGCTGAAGCAGGCATGAGCCAGGAGGACCTAGAGCACTCTGGACTAGAGTGCCTTAGCACCCAGCTATCTGGAGCTTAAGTGATGTGGGTCATTAGTGTTCAGGGTACTCTGCACCTGCATCATCTTGTCATAACAGCTGAAGCTATAGTGAGAACTGACCAGGGTTGTCCAGTTGTGTGGCATGTCAGAGCCACTTTGGGGTGATGGCAGGGGGTGGTATGTGGGGTAGGTGCCTGGGGCTCTTTGGGGTAATGAGCCAGCTAGGGCATCTAGACCTTATTCCTGACTATGCTATCAAGGGGAAGAGGAAGTAAATCATGATGTTCATCAGTCACACTTATTATTTGGTTTAGAAAATATTCTGTTTCTTCATTTTGCCTGACTCTCTGTGTTTGTCTAGCTATATTAGGTAGTTTAGCTATGTCTCCTTTTCTTAAAAGCATGGCCTTATAAAGATGTCCTATGGAGCCAAAGAGCAATATCTTTCCTAGCCAATAGAGTCAGGTGTTCTAGGAATTTCCCCTGCGTGGGCTATGTGTGCCCTCTTGTAGCATAGCTTCAAGTGTTGTGAGCACAGTGCCATGTGAACTGGTTGGGACTATTACAGGTGCACAAGTGGGCAGGGGTGGCCATGACACAGCTGGCTGCAAAGCCCTGCCAACTGCAAAACCTGGTTGCAACTGCTTCAGGCATGCTGTTTGGCAGGGTGGCTCCAGGTCCCTTGCTGTTGCAAGTTTCAGTGTGATTTCTGTGGGCATTCTGGTAAGCAGAGGTAGTCCTGGCATTGTTGGCTATGATGCCTGCCTGCAGCTTGATGCACAGAAGTTTTTAAGTTTGGTATAGTCCCATTTGACCAGTTTTGCTTTTGTTGCCTTTACTTTTTGGTTTTGTATCCGTGATATAATTGCCAAACCCAAATGTCATGAAGATTTTCTTTTATATTTTCCTCTAAGAGTTTTGTTTAGGTCTTATATTTAGGCCTTTGATTCATTTTGGGTTGATTTTTGTGTATAGTGTAAGGTAAGAGTCCAACTTCATTATCTTGCACATGAATATACAGTTTTCCCAGCACTACTTGCTAAAAGAACTGTCCTTCGTCCTTTGAATGGTCTTGGCACCTTATCAAAAATTCTTTGACCATATATATGATGGATTATTCCCAGGATCTTTATTCTATCCACTGGCCTATATATTGATCTTTATGCCAGTACCATGCCATTTTAGATACTATAGCTTTGTAATAAGTTTTGAAATAATGAAGTATAAGACCTCCAAATTTATTTCTTTTGACCATTCAGGGTGCCTTGAGATTCCATGTGAATTATAAGATGGATTTTTCTATTCCTAAAAAATACACCATTGTGACTTTGATAGGAATTTTGCTAATTTGTAGATCAGTTTGGGTAGTATTGACACAATTATAGTATTAAGTCTTCTAATTCATGAACACAGTATGTCTTTCTAAGCTTTATCTCTTTTTTGAATAATTTTTCATATCCTTTGCCATTTCTAGGCAGTCTTAATATCTTTAGTTTTCAATGTTTATGAACTCTTTATATATTAAGGACATTTACCTTTTGTCATACTGTGACAAATATTCTTCACAGTTATTCATCTTTCTACTGTTTTGATGATGGCTTGAAGTAAGTTTTACATCAAGTTAAAATTTATAATAGTATTTTGAATATTTTTTTTCATTTAGGCTATTTTTTTTTGTTGCTGAGATATAATGAACATATAGCATTATATCAGTTTCAAGTGTACAACATAATGGTTTGATATTTGTCTATACAGTTGACCTTTGAACCACATAGGTTTGAACAGCATGGGTTCATTTATATGTGGATTTTTTTCAATATGTACAGTACTATAACTGTATTTTCTCTTCCTTATGAATTTCTCAATGACACTTTAATTAAAGAAAATAACATTTTATTTTCTCTAGCTTACATTAAGAATACAGTATGTACATATAATATATGAAGTATGTTAATGAATTATTATTACTATTTCAATAACTCTCAGGTAAATGATTCCTTAAGCTGGTATGTTCTTCACAAACACTGATTTATTGTAAGTGACTCTGATCATACTAAACATTCACTTCACTAATAGTAACTTCCTCTTACCAGGGGCTTTTTTGAGACAAAAAATAAGAAGAGAGGATCCTCCTTAGTTTTGTTCTTGTTTTTTTTTTTTTTTTTTTTTTTAAAGCTTAGCAGTGTGTTAAATTCATCCCTTCTTCATCAATCAAAGAATGCAACCTAAGCTCTCTTGACCAAACTCAGTCTTGCATATTTGGGGCATATTTTAAAAAGAGGAAGAAAACAACTAAAATATTTTGGATCCCATTCTGGTGAGCATTGTGATACCAAGCAAGCCTGGATCCTTATTTCATGTCTTGTTTATTTTTTCCAGAAGGAATCTTACTTACACATAGTCCTTTAATTTTGAAAAAGTTGGTTTTATCTGTTCAATTGTGTAGATGATGTTGACCTTGCTTCATGGCAGGTTCCAGTAATATTTCCGTATGTTCCTAGTGGCTGTCTCATGCAGGCGCACAAACAAGTCTGTCACCTCCATACTTGTCCAACCTGGGCAACCAGACTATGGAGCCAAACTAGGGATATAATATATGGTAAGTAACAGCACTGTCTATTGATGTTGGAACCATTGGGGTAGCAACGCTATTCAACCTTCAGCAGCAAAATGGGTGAAAATGTCCTCTGCTTTCTGTATTTTAGTTTTTTAAAAAAGAATAATGTAGGGAGATATTAGTGCCTCGCTGTTTTAAATGGCTTTCAGGAAGCAACTCTTCTGTGTTCTTCATAGAACTCATAAATGAATCCAGGGAGGGTGGACTATGAAAAAATCTGAGTCAAAAGCCCTGTGTATAACACTTGGTGTATATTCATGCAGGATTTTTGAGGAGAAGAACTGTCTGTTTTGGTCATGCTGCATTTCCAGTTTATAGTTCCTGATGTTGAGTGGATGCTCAATGAATATTTGTTGGCTGCCAGATGCAACTTACCACTGCATTGCCAGTTTTCTCAGTAACAGGGCAGTGAGAACCTAAGTAACATTCCAGGAGCTCCAGGGCCTGGGAATCTTTTCTCTAGGCACAGCAGATAATCGATCTAATGTCCATCTATAATGGGTGACTTAAAGCCACCCTAGGAAGAAAGGTTTCCCCATTGATGCCTGAAATTCCATGAATAGATTATTTTTTCTGTTTATGTTATTCCAACTTCTTTGAAAAATGCCTAGAGAAGGGGTACGCATATTGGGATCTTTCATGAGAATGAGTTGATTATATGAAAATTTTCTTCACAAGAGAGACCATTAACAGAAAGGGGAAGCTGTTGAGTTAGAAAGATTATACTCTCCCTGCTCCAGTATTCCCAAGCATGGGGGCTCAAGAGTTCCTCCAGACTTTTCTACTCAACCTTCAACATTGGCTTAAAACAAAGGTACTACTCACACCTCTTCTTTCAAGAATCAGGCCTTAGTCTTGTTGTCCACAAGCCTATTTCTTTGGAGCAGAGACCCTCCTCTTTGTCCCCTCCCTACCCTCTACCCTAGCAGGCTCCACACAGAGAATCTATCCCTGGCTAAACAGCCATTATTATGGCTATACATATATTTTTAAGAAAGATAAATTTGTTTCCTATTAAAAATTCCATAGTGCTTGTGTGACTTGCATTTGAAGACCAGCCAAAGGACCTGCTTATAAGACAGAGTGGAGGTTGACGTTTATTGAGCATCTTCTGCGAGCCAGGTACCTGTTTGCATCGGTGTTGGCTCCTTGGTGGATTCTAGGATGCGTAATCTTGGGCACAACAGTACCTAGCCAGATGGATACCGCCTGCGGGAGATGACTTTATTAGGCAAATGTCATCATTTCCATGTTTATTGAGAACAAAACTAAGGCTCTGAGGAAAAACAAAGGACATTCTCAGGGTTTCAGAGCTAAATTAATTTAGGATTCCAGAAGCCCAATTCTCTTCTCTAGCAAGGAAGATTACCATTCCCATGGGGGCAAAGAACAAGTCGTACGTTCCTTCTTATATTCTCACTAGACTTTACATAGGACTTCGATATGTTTCATAAGAAATGCATGTAACAGAAACCCATTCAAAATAAGCTTAACCAAAAACAACCCAGAGTACCACCTAGGATTGAGGAAGGTTGAACAACCAAGGCTACAGCTGCAAGAACGCAGTTGACTTCTGGCCAGACAGTGAATTCCATCCTCTGGAATCAGGTGTTTACCTATAATCCAATCAGCTGTGGCCCAGAGACTTGAAGTAGAAACATGGTTCCTGTGAACTAATTTTGTGGATGAATGAGACATTTCTTTTAAAACAGAGTCATGTGCTGGGCAAACAGCCCAAAGAGATTTGTTATACTTGGATGCAACTCCATAAATGTTTATTGCCTGATTGTTTTTTGTCCTGACTAAACACTTTAAGAACCTTGGATGAATCATTCTGGTTTTTCCTTTAGTCCCAAGGCAGGGATTCATATGGGTTAAAGAAAAATATGTGTCATTTCCATATGCCAGTGGTTCCGTTGTTTACAAGTCACTGGAACAAATCAAGAAAGAAGAAATAGACTGTTTATTCTCAAATGCTTGGTTTCAAGGGGGCAGAGGAAACGGGAAAACATCTATAGTGAGGGCTATTGTGTTTGGGGCTGGAAGACTATCAAGGTCAGTTACCAAATGGGTGGGCGGCAACAAGTAGGTGCTTTGTTTTGTCCCCACAGGAAGTTATTTTCTTTGTTTTGCAAGTTGGTTGAATTTCTCTGGAGTCAATATCCTGGATGCTCAGAACTCTTTTTTTCCCCCATTCAGAGTGCCCTAATTTTACATTTTACATAATTCCAGAAGTGACCAAAAGCTGATTTTCTGAAGTATGATACTTGCAAGTGGAGACTGAAGGCTGCACATACATGGGTCGTACTTCTACTGCCACCTTAAGGAAGCTGCTAGAATTTCAAGGTGGCTTGGTTAAAATGATTGTGAAATGCAAAGTTTCAGAGAGGAAAGTGAAAAGTTAAAAAAAAAATCATAATGGAGTAATCCACCTCCTAAAAAATGACCTTCTGGAAGGTTTCAGGGCATAGGCAATGTTGCTAGGTGTGTCTGAGTTATGTAGGTTAGGGTTTGGGACCTGCCTCAACCCTCCACTCTCAGTGACTATCCTTAACTCAGACGTTTACAATTTCTAAGCCACAAGTATAAGAAAACTGATGTTACTACCATTTCACTGGGTTTCATGTTGACTAAATGACATCACCTGTGTTAATCTTTAGCACTTGGTAAGCACTCAGTAAATGATTGCTATGTTATCATCTGAAATTTGCTATGTCTGAAGGCATTAGGGAAGCCTGTGGCAGAGAGAGGTACAGAAAGTGGGGGAGGAGGGCATCCAGGAGCTCACATATAACCAAATACTCAACACACAGCCTACAGTGGATCTTTGATAAACACCTAAATGAGAAGAAAGGGGAAAGCAGTGACATCACTGGAGATGACTTTAACTGTCAGAATGGGGATGGAAAACATTTTTTTTTTTTTTTACTATTCATTCTAGAATCGGGGAATCATTAAAATATAGAATGCTCATGTGGTAAGGATTCTAGAAATGTACTCCGATTTGTTTTTTCAACTAGGGTAACCAAATTGTTGAATCACTTCTCAACTTAAAATTCGAGTGAGTAGCATACTGGCATTAGAATCCAAGATTTTGACAAGTAACCTAGTGTTCTTTATATAATGCTGAAATATAACTCAAGATTGGCTAAACAGAATTGTCCTGTTTTTTTGTTTTTTTTTTTTTTAAGATTTTGGGCAGCCTGGTGGCCCAGTGGTTTAGCACCACCTTCGGCCCAGAGTGTGGTCCTGGAGACCCGAAATCAAGTCCTGCATGGGGCTCCCTGCATAGAGCCTGCTTCTCCCTCTGACTGTGTCTCTGCCTCTTTCTGTCTCTCATGAATAAATAAATGAAATCTTAAAAAAATAATAAAATAATTTTTTCATTTGATAGAAAAAGCACAAACAGGGGGAAGAGAAAGAGGAAGAAGCAGGCTCCCCACTGAACAGAGAGTCGGACCCAGGCTCAATCCCAGGATCCTGGGACCACAACCTGGACTGAAGGCAGACACTTCACTGACTGAGCCACCCAGGTGCCTCTTTCTTTCTTTCTTTCTTTCTTTCTTTCTTTCTTTCTTTCTTTCTTTCTTTCTTCCTTCCTTCCTTCCTTCCTTCCTTCCTTCCTTCCTTCCTTCCTTCCTTCTTTCTTTCTTTCTTTCTTTCTTTCTTTCTTTCTTCTTTCTTTCTTTCTTTCTTTCTTCTCTTTTTCTTTCCCTCCTTCCTTCTTTTTTTTAACAACTCAGGAAAGTTATTTAATCTATGGTTAATTTCCTCATCTGCAAAATAGCCATAGTAACAATATCCTACTTCAGAGGGTTGTAGTAAAGATCAAATATCAGATACTGCATATCAAGTATTTAGAACTGTGCTATAAATGTTAACCAGTATGATTATCAGACAACAAAGTTCACCTCTCACAATTAAATTGTTTCCTGGGCATGACAAATTAGACTTTGCCATCTCTAAAACCATTGGATTCCTAACTCTGTGTCTCCATGATAATAAAAACAGTTATTATCTCTTTATATCTCCGGGCACCTGGGACAATTACCTTTTTTTAAAAAAAAGATTTTATTTATTTGAGAAAGAGACAGAGAATGTGATAGAGAGAGAGAGAGAACAAGCAAGGGGAAGGTCAGAGGGAGAAGCAGACTCTCCTGCTGAGCAGGGAGCCCAACGTGGGGCTCAATCCCAGGATCCTGGGATCATGACCTGAGCTGAAGGCAGACGCTTAACCAACTGAGCGACCCAGGTGCCCCTATTTTGATATAATTATAGATTCATACATAGTCATAAGACATAACAGAGAGATCCCTTGTACCTATTACCCAATACTCTCCAGTGAAAACAGTCCACAGAACTGTAGTATAGTATCACAACTAAGATATTGACATTGATATCATTCATCAATTTTACTAAGATTTCCCCAGTTTTACTTATAACTCATTTATATGTGTGTTTTTAGTTCTATATAATTGTATCATGTGTGCAGGTCCATGTGTATAATATCACAGTCTAGGAACAGGATAGATCCACCATCCACAAAGACCCCTTTTACTATTCTTTTATAACCATACCCACTTTTTTCCTGCCCTCTCTCCACTCCATCCCTAAACTCTGGCAACTATTAATAGATGTTGGGCTTTTCTCATTCTGCGTAATTCATGGAGACTCATCTGGATTGTTGCTTATAACCGTGGTTTGTGCCTTTGTTATTGCTGAATAATATTTGATGGCAGATGTGCCACTGTTAAACCATTCACCCCTCAAAGGATGTCTAGGTTGTTTCTTGTATTTGGCTACTAGAAATAAAGCTGCTATGAATATTCATGTACAGGTTTTGTGTAAATGAAAGTTTTCATTTCTCTTGGCTAAATGCCAAAGACTGCAACTCCTGAGTAAGAATGGCAATTACATGTTTAGTTTTATAAAAAATTGCTGAGCTGTTTTCCAGAGTGCACTACTTTAAAGCAATGTGCCAGTGATCCAGTTTTGGGGCATCCTTACCAGCATTTAGTATTATCGCTATTTTTTATTTTAGCTTTCCTAATAGATGTGAAGTGATATCTCATTGTGGTTTTGATTTGCATGCCCCTAGTGACTAATGATGTTGGATATCTTTTCATGTGCTTTTTGGCCATCTGCCTCTCTCCTCTTTATTGAAATATCTCTTCATATATTTTGCCCTTTATATAATTGAATTATTTCCTTTTTACTGTTGAGTTTTGATAGTTTTTACATATTTGAGATATGAGGCCTTATAAGACATTTTACTTTTAGAGTAAAACATCCACATTGGATTATGAGTAGCATAGTGTACATACTAGTAAAATACATGACAATAGAGCACAAAGAATGGGAGGAGGTAAATGAAAGTATGCCATGGTCTGGTTCTTAACATTGTATATGAACTGGCAGTTTAATCCATGCCAAACCATGGTAAGTTAGACATGCATATAGAAATCATTTAAAAGATGCAGAAAGAAGAATCATTTAAAAAAATTAAAAAGATATCTAATTAAGTCAACAGAAGGATAAGATGGAATACCAAAAGATGGCAAGAAAGGAGGATTGAAGGAACAAAGTACAGCTAAAACAACTAGGAAATGAATACCAACATGATACACTTACACCCAACCTTATCGTTTATTATATTACAGTAAATGATAGTGGACTATGACCTTTAATTTAAAACAAAATTTTTAAGGACTCAACTATTCAAGTGTTTACAAGGGACACACTTAAGTATAAAATTCTAGATAGGTTGTAAGGAAAATGATAGAAAATGTTTATCATACTAGCATTAATTATTAGAAAGGTGTTGTGGCTATAGTAATATCAGATGCAGTAAACTTCAAAATAAGAAGTACTACCAGAGATTAAAAGGGACGTTTTATTATAAGTAGGTCAATTCATTAAGGAGACCTACTTATCCTAAATATGAAAGTGACTACTAACAGAGCTTCAAAGTATATGTGGCAAAAACTGACAAAACTAAAGAGAGAAATGACAAATCCACAATCATATTTTGAGATTCAACACTCCACTCTCAGTAATTGACAGTAAAGCAGACAAAGGAAGTACAAATGATTCAAAAGAGTTTTCTAAAAAAACACAACATAATAAAGAACATGATACACTGCACATATCAAATACACTTTTCACTGGAACATGGGGTATTTATCAAGAGAGATTATATGTTGAGCAATGAGACAAGCCTAAAATGTAAAGCTTTAAATCACACAGAATATTGTATGCCCACAGTGAAATTGTTAGATGTTAGGTGCCTGGGTCTATCAGTCAATTAAGCATCCAACTCTTGGATTTGGCTCTGGTCATGATCTCAGGGTCATGAGATAGAGCCCCACGTCAGGCCCCTGCTCAGCGTGGCCTGATTCTGTCTCCCTCTGCCCCTCCCCCCTGCTTATTCTCCCTCTGAAATAAATCTTAAAAAAAGTGTTAGACATCAATAATAAAAAAGAAATCTAGAAAATTCCCAAAGATTTTGAAATTAAGTAACATGCCATTAAATAACACATTGTTCAAAAAAGAAATCATAAGAGATAAAAATATGAACAATGAAAACACCACCAAAGAAAATGTGTGGATACAGCTAAAGGAGTAGTAATAAATATGAAATCCGCAGCTTTAGCTGCTTATGCTAGAACACAAGCCCATTTCCATTTAAAATGGGAGTGGAAATAAAATAGATTTCAGTATGGAATTTCATTTTTAACAATTTTGTTCAGATCGTTTCTCTTTGAGTTGGAAAATGTAAACCAATGAAAACTAAGTAGAAAGGCAACTATAGAATAGACCATGAGAGGGCACTATTCTCTAACTCCAGAGGAAGAAGCCCTTCCTGTGAAAAACTGAAGGATTAGCTCTGGAACAGACCCGAGAAAGCTTTGAGATTTTATCTCCTTATTTCGAGAATGCGACAGTTAGGGTGTAGAGTGAGCAAATGATTTCCCAACATCGTACAAATTCTAGGAATAGCGTCAGAACTAGAAACCAGTCTCCTGACTGTTACAGCACATATCTTTGTGAAATCAGAGACAGACCCAGACTTTCCTATGGGTTTATGCTAATGAGCTCTTTTCCCCTAGGATCTCCCAGTGATGGGATGTATGCCTGGAGTTGCTCAGCTGCTGTGGGGAAGGCAGAGGCAAAGAGGGAGGGAGACACCAAGACCTGGTGGTATTTGAGCGCCCAATAAGCCGTGCTTGAAACTAGTGCCACCTCCTGGATGTTCTGCAAGCCCATATAATCCTTTTTATTTAAAGCCAGTTGGTACCGGGTTTTTTTGTCACTTGCAACCAAGAATCTTGAAAATGCCAAACTCTTCTGCTTTACAGGAGAGCCAATGAAATTCAGGACATATGGTTTTATTTTAGAAAGAGAAAAAAAGGTTCTAGGTAACTCACCAGGACTGTGTTTGCCAGGTGAAACTAAGGATGCAAAAACATATGAGGACATTCTCACGTTTCCCTTTCCCCCAGAAATTTTAGTTCCTAGTTATAGATACAATTTATTTTTCCTCTGCTGACTTCTCCATTGCATTTTTGGAAAGGCAAATTATTTCAAAGATCATTAAGAATGTATGTTGGTAGAAGGGAGATGCAGGCTGTGTCATCTTTAATACAACAGTCTCCTCTGACTCTCTAGGGGTATAGAGTAGGGAGTAAAAACACTGTACAGTTGATGTACTTTGCCTGTATGTGCACTATCTCATTGCCAACCCATAGCAACTCTATAAGGTATTTTCACCTGCCTTTAACACATGAAATAGAAACAAAGATGTTATGAACTGCCTAAGGTCACCCAGCTAATATATATAAATGTAAGAATTTGAACTCAAGTCTATGCTCTTGCTTTATGCTAGACGTGCTTGTATCCCCTCTGAACCCAGTCCTGGTAAATTTCTTAGGAACTTCAGAACATATTCCATATATTCCATAATTTATTCATGGAGTTAATGCACAATATTACATTAGTTTCAAAATGTGGAGTTAATGCACAATATTACATTAGTTTCAAATGTACAACATAGTGATTTGACTACTCCTTACTGTATGCCAGCCTGGCTACAAATGTAGCTACTATCTGTTACCATACTATGTTACTACAATATAAATGATTATATTCTCTACTCTATACCATATATTCCATAATTTATTCATTCTATAACTGGAAACCCATACCTCCCACTTCCCTCATCCATTTTTCTCATCTCTACTCCTTCTCCTCTGGCAACTAGCAGTTCTTTGTATTTATGGGTCTGTTTCTGCTTCTTTATTGGCTTGCTTGTTTGTTAGATTCCACATATAAATGAAATCATATGGTATTTGTCTTTCTTTGCCTGATTTATTTCACTTAGAATACCCTCTAGGTCCATCCATGTTGTTGCAAATGGTCAGATCTCATTCTTTTTGATGGCTGAGCAATATTTCAGTGTGTATGTATGTGTCTGTTCCTGTATCAGTGGATGCATGGGTTGCTTTTACATACCTTAGCTGTTGTAAATAATGCT